CCGGCCCATCCTGTCTCGCTGCCTGGTCTGGGCTTCCGTGCCAGCAGCTCCATAAAAAGCCACCCTAGGGAAAACAACTCCAAAACAAAAGGCCCAACCGCTCTGTGCTGATGCCGGAGGGAAAGGAGCTGCTTGGCTTGCGTCGGCGCAGGGGGGTTGCAGCGGATGAAGCGGTTGCCTGGATCCTGGTGCGATTAACTCTCCTGTGTTTTCAGACCAGAACCCGGTGGTAGAGGAGGCGGAGGATGAACGTGACAAGCCGAAGCTGGTGGATGAGAAGGAGGAGATGGAGCAGCCACAAATTAAGGTGCCCATGGAGGTTTCCAAGAGAGAGGAGGAGAGAGGAAAGCCGGAGGAGAAAGTGCAGCTTGACCGTCCGGATCAAGGTAACGAGGAGCCTGGGGAAAGGGTGTCAGCCTCCGAGCTGGGATGGGTATGTTGCAAGGCTCTTGCAGATAAAGAGCCTTATCTCTGCTCGTTAACCTCGCGGGCTGGAGGTGATTTTAGTATTTGATGCTCTCAAGGCTCGTTAGGAACGCAGCCTCCCGACGAGGAAGGAAAGGCAGGGCTGGAAAGGGCAGCAGGGGTGTGCAGTGAGCCTGCTGCTTCTCCTGTCAGCCTGGAGCCCCCTAACCCTGCCTGTCGCCCACCCTAGGGATTGCCCTGCCTGTGGGGGAAGCGCATCGCCACGAGCCGCCTGTCCCGCACGACGAAGTGGTCGTGGACATGGGGCGGGAGCGGGAGGAATCCGACGAGCGCAAGCTCGCACCCGGAGTAGCCGCCGATCGCCCGCTCAAGCCAGCGCTGGAGGAGCCGGCCGCGCCGAATCCCCAGAAAGAGGCGCTTGGCCCAAACCAGGGGAAGGGAGCGATTGCTGAGAACCAGCCGCGAGGAGGGACTGACGAGCCCGGCAAGAATCCCAGGAACGTCCCGGAGGTGATGGTGCAGGATGGCAGGCCGCCATACAAGGAGTTGGAGCCAGACAAAGAAGCGCTGGCAGCCAAGGCGCAAGCTGCCGCGCTGGACGGTGAGAAGAAAGCCGAGGGGGCAGGTGACAGGGAGAAATCGAAGCTCCAGCTCCCCAGGAAAGCAGAGGAGGCTGCGAAGTCCGTGGAGAAGGAAGCCGAACCTGGTAAGCTCTCCCCACGGCACCTCGTCTGAGCAAACTACCCTCTCTGTAATTCCCCACGTGGCAGGGGAGCAATTCGGTTATCCCTACCCACATCCCAGCGCTTCCTTTGAATTCTGTGCGATCAGCGCGTGAGCCTGCGCAGCCCCTTCGGCAGCTGCTGGGAAAAGGAGGAATCGGGTAGCTTTGACAGCTCCTGTAATATCTGTCAAACAGTTGTTTGCCAGCCTGCTAAATGTCAGGTGCCGTGCTGTTCCCGTGCGTCTCCGAACTCACGGGGGACGCGGAGCCGGGAGATCTTGACAGGTACCACATTGCTAAGTGCCCGTCTCGGAGCTAGTTAGAACCATTCTTGCATTTTAATTGGCTGAGGTAGTTAACGCTGGCTCGCTGCCACGAGTCTATAAGATCGTTAAATATGGGGTTTTTTATTACTTCCCTGGAATATAAACCAAGCCGGCGTTAGGCAGGGAGGGACAGCCACGGCGTGGAGTCGTTTTAGAGAACATCTGCTGCTGGAGTGCCCTCCTCGGCTGCAAAGGTCTGTTGGTCCGCAGGTGAAAAGCAGGAGCTGCCCTTCCTGGATCAGCTGGAGCCGAGGGAGAGCCGGAACACCGAGGAGAAGCAACAGGAGGATGCGGAGAGCAAGCTGGAAGGTGAGCATGCTTCCCCAGGCTCCGGCTGCAGGATTTCGCTCTGCGAGAGGATGGTACTGGCCAGCGCCGCTCTTGGTGCAGAACGGGACCCGGCAGCACGGTGGGTGCTGGTTCTGGTCACCATTGTCGGCTGGTTGGAGCGAGTCCGGAGGAGGCCACGGAGATGCTCCGAGGACTGGAGCCCCTCTGC